ACATATTCAATTCAATTCAATAATTTGAAAAGTGGCAGAAGTCTCAGTGGCAGGTATCTCAACCCTAATAGAAACCAAACTATCTGCATGGCTTTATATCGCTGGCGTTATTTTGAATGCTACCTCCTACACTTACAGTAGTTTACAGTATAATTGATTGACATTACATTTCAGTTCCACTTGACTATATAAAAAGGACACTTTAAACCATATTTGTACGTCTATTACACATATACCTTAGATAAATACTTTATGTCTGTTTTTGCTTTTCTCATCTCTATTTTCTACTACTAATTATTTTAATGTCAAAATAAAGTAAAACTGTTAAAAAGCAGGACTTTGACTTTGAATGGAGTATAACTCAACTGTGATTTGTTATGTTTACTTGAGTAAAGGGTAATTGCTTGTTCCTGCAATTCACTCTGCACTTCACAAGCATTAAACTAAGCCATGAGCGACAATGTTGTTCATATCCCAGAGCAGGTAAACTCTAGATAACTGTGCTATGAGAGTAGTAGGAAAGATGTACAGTGGGTTTATGTGGCAGAGAGACCAAGTGTCTTATATCAAGTGACTGCCAACAGTAAGATTTTATCCAGGGAGAGCTTTGAATAGAAAGACATTGACCAAAACTCAAGCAAAAATAAGAACTAATCCCTAAGGATTACTCCGGCTTACTGCCATTCTTACCCACTCACAGCACCTTAACAACACCCCAGTCAACGGGATGAGGAGGGTTACTGGGGTAAAGATGGATAGAGAGTGGAGGGAAACAAGATAACAGTGAATGCAGTGACAGGGAAGACAGAAACAGAACAGTCAGCTGATACAGGACAGGTGAGCAGAGAGAGGTAAGACTGAGAAGGAGGAGATAGTAATGTGGGTGGGAGAGGGTACCGAATGGCATGCTGGGAGATAAGAGCAAGGCTTTAAAAGGGAGAGGGGCATAAAATAACACTTTAGAAAATACACACCAGCTGAAACTGATCAACAAGTTGCACGCTGCTTGCAGAGACATGACACTGCACACAGCCCACAACACCATCAGCTAAATGTAATCTGCAGAATAAAACCTCAGTGAGGGATCATCTTACCTCTTTTGATGGGGGTGTCAGCTGGGGGCACGTCGGTCTCCTCATATTCCATAACTCTCCTGTCAAAACACTGGGTGGCCCTACACACTCACACACTGACTCACCTCACACACACACAAACAAACACACACAAACCACAGACGCCTTGCTATGTCAGTCGGTTTTTGAACTCCACCTGCCGCCATTTGACTCAAAAGGCAATGTGACAAAACTCGGTGCTCTCATACTACCTGTTGGTAGTTCTAGCGCCCGGGTCGGCGCAGGCATTTGAAAACATGCACTGCCATCTCGCCTTCCTTCCTGTCCTCCTGTCCTTACAGTGGGTCCCACAACATCTTTTCTTACCCTCTCTTGTCTGTCTGTGCTGCCCTCGTCCAACACTACACCTCCTCTCTCTTGTGTGAGGTTGTTTTGAAATAATTTAATTCCCCCCGAGGCAGCAGCGGCGAGGAGAAAGTGCAGCTGGACCGGCCGGCCGTTTACAAGCCGTGAACCCCCGGTCTCTCTCTCTCTCTCTCCCCCTCTCCTCTCCTCCCCTCCCCGCGCGCTCTGTGCGCCCTGACCGTCCCAGGCTGGAGAGAGTTATGTCACCGACTGTTACGTAATAGCAGCGGATCGGGTTTTGCTTTGTAGTGCTCGGTTGAGAAATATAATCCCGTGTTGCTTCCACAAATTTCCGCCAACACTAATCGAAAAAAAAAAAAAAGTACAATGCATAGAGGAGACATTTAATTTCAGTGCAGGTTTGACCTTTTACCTTCAATAATGCTAAATGGGGAAACACACATAAAAGCCCTTCTTCATATGTGCTGGGGTCATTTTAGTGGCTTGTTCAAACCACCTGCAGGGCTCTGGACATGCAATGCATGCAAAGGTGGGGGGTTATTTTTTAATAATGCTTTGCCTTATTTGAACTGATGTTGGGAAACAATTGCAGACACAAAGAAAACGATGAATAATCGATATGTCTTCTCGGTTTACATCATTGTGGTAAATGCTCCTCTAAGACATGGCGCTTACACTGGGTCCACACACACATGCTGAATAGCCTACACCAGTGGGTGGAATTTAACTAAGTAGCTACTTGAATATTTCCATTTTCAGCTAGTTTATACATCTACTACACCACAGGAGGAAATATTGTATTTTGTACTCCAATACATTGATCTGACAACTGGAGTAACTGCCATGATTAATATTTTACTGGGAAAAAAGAACTACAAGTAGTCCTCAACAAATCTGTTCCACCTCAACCTGCCACAACATAAAAAATGCTGCTTACATTATTCATCTTTATTTAATCAGGCAGTCTCGCTAAGATAAAGATCCCTTTTCCAACAGAAGCCTGAAAACAAGTAACATTCACAGACAAAGTATTAATAAAAGCAGGTGCAAGAATCACAAAAAGCATCAAGACATATATAACATATATAACTTTGTCAGGGCCATTCTGCTATATAATGACTACTTTTACTTTTACTACTTTGCTGATGATAATAATACACTTTGACTTAATTGTAACCTGGCAGCAGTACCTGGTATTGCTATGTTTACTTAAGTAAAAGATCTAGTGATAATCAATCAAATCTATTATCTATTATGTCCCACAGTCTCTTAGGGTGAAAGCTGTTAATGACCATTCTTATTTTGATTCATTTTCAGTCAAATTAGTAATTGATAACCGTCTCAGCACTAAAACATATTTGTTAAAGAAATTGACCTATTGGCATCCTGACGGTAATGTCACTGTCAGGATGCCAACACTCTTCTGCCAAAGGTGACACGAAGCCAAAAGTGTGCACTGTCAAGTCACTAACAGACACTTCACCATCCTGTCAGGGGCCTCCACTTTGTTTTACAGAATTCTTTGTTTAAAGACTACACGTTGATTATGCTATTACATTGTCTTTTCAAGTGAAAGTTGTGCTTTCAGGCTGATATCTAAAGCAAAAACCTGTCCTTGAAGTGTGACAGTGGACAGAGCTTGTTGCAGGTGGTTTTAACTGAAAGTTGAAAACAACTTCCCCCACGCTGCCCCCCACCCGCTTCCTCAAACCCAACTTGACCACATGACTCTTCAGGGGAAAAAGAAAGAAAAAAAACTCCTGGTGTTCATTTGTCCTGTTCATTTACACTTTACTGAGGTTAAAGATGTGAGGGGCCCTCAGAAGATCCTCAGGCCGGAACTGCGATGAGGCCATACACTCAGAAACCACACACCAGACCAAACTGTTAAACGCAGTTAGATGCGTGCAAGGTTTGTATACTTGTAACCAATAATTTACTACCACACAAAAACTCACTCAGCAGCACCAGATAATATTCAAGACTTAAATAAGAGCTGTCACATTAATTTCAGTGATTATTCAGAGCTTATTGGCCATAGAAAAAACACATAAAGGAGTGATATTAAGAAATACATGAAGCTGCATGTCAACAGTGTACATCAGTGGATTCTATCCAAAATACTTCCCTGATACAATAAACAGTGACTGAAAACAACAGGAAACAATAAGATATATTTTAAGCTCCTTTTTTTAAATCTTGAATGGAGCTTGAATACATCAGAATTCATTACGGTGTTTGATGAATGTCAACATTGTCGCTGTACTCTAGTGCAGTACAGTCATCTGACACCTCGGGTAAAATTAAGAGTTTTGCTCTGAGTTGTTAGTAAGACGTAAGTATTAAAGCCTGGTTGTTGCTGGCTGGGTTTGGCAGCATTTTAACAAAATCTAGTTGGTCAGATAACAAAAACGCATCAATTATGATGTTAAATTTGCAGGATGAAACAAGGCTCTCTTTAAGAAACTCACATATTCCTCTTTTTATTTATGTTTATTGCACAGCTGTAGAGTTCCAGTTGTCTCAAGCAGCAAGGTCTGTTTTTTCCTCCCTAGGTCAAGCACAATGTAAACAGTGTTACACTAAAAATGTTGTTACATTCATATGCAGATGTTCCATAGTCCAATACAAAAAGTCAAACTCATCAGTGTTGTCAACATAAAGTCAGTACAGTATGTGTATAACCCAAAATGGTGCTCTCACTGCTTTCAATAGTCTGTAAGTAAGTAATTTTTGAAGATGTATGGTCTACAGTAGCTGCCATAGCAACACAGATCTCTATGATGTGGACAGTGTAAGCATACTGTGGTCATCTCTGACTGACTATAGAAACACGTTCAAAGTGTGAATGAGTGACACTAACAAGCCTATGAACAACATGAACCCCTGCAAGTCATGATATTCTCATGGCATATAAATTCACACCTCATATTCAAATATAACCACATCCACCACACGGTGGGGTAACAGTTAACAACCCACACCTGAAAATCTAAATTTAAATGTGTAAGTAAGAAGAATGAAAGTCAAGCTTGTTAACTGAGAAAATAAAAAAGTTAAATATATATATATATATATCTTTGATTTCACCAATTTATCAGTGACAGCTAAAATTGAGTTTAAAAAATAAATACAAATCCATACACCCTCTAAGTGTATACTTTACAGACAAAAAGCATAATGATATTCTGCATTTGTCTTTGGATAATTATACAAATGTACTTTATTTTGTACAAAATCTTGACTATTATCTAATATAGCAATATCAGTATCTGTCGATTAAACCTTATTAAATGTACTATTTGCTGTTAGTTATATTAGCAGTTAAAATATCAAGTTTGATCAGGGGATAAATTAAAAAATGCTTTAAAAGATTTGATTTAGAGTGCTTTTTGGCAAAAATCTATACTTTACAGTCTCATTATACAAAGAGAAACTTAAAAATGTCTATTGAATATAGGTGCAAACCTACATCTCATATAAGACAGTCTTTTTTATGTAAAGTTCATAAGCAAAAACCCCAGAAAAGTAACCCAACAAAGAAAAATAATCCAATTTTTATTCCGTGTTACAAACAATTTAATTCTTGGGAAACAAAGAAACACATGGTTTGTATATTTTATGCAACACCAACAGGTAAGGCATTATAAGGGGAAACAAAATATTCACTCAAAGAACATTTTGAGCAAAAACCTCACTTCTGAAACAACTAGTGTAATAAAACCATCAATACTGCAATTAAAATAAATACCTTCAACATTCAGTTTTATAAATAATGTTTAGATATGTACTTTTGATGTGTTAGTAACACTAAGAAGAGGTAGTCAAGTAAAGGTACTTCATAAAACAGTACTCCCAAAATATGCATTAATATTAGTATATGATAAAAGGTCAACAATGTCATATGTGTCTCTTAAATGACCTGGCAAATAAGTAGCACATACTCCTCAAAAAACACTCCAAACCACTGACACACTCGCACAGTCACACACACGCACGCTCGTTTGCCTCAGCTTGCTGACTGTGTTTGGTTAGGTGGTAGGCCGTTTTAGTGTCATCCTCCCAGTAGTAGGTGGCTGGCACTGATCGACACGAAGAGTACTGCATGAAGAAAGGACAGCGACAATACAGAAGGTCAAAGAGCAGTTAAATGCGACCAAATACAAGTTTTCACACTGACATGTCCCATCAAATTAGTTGTGTGTATAAAAATGTGTATTACCTGTTGTTTCTGTGTGCACTTTGGAGCCATCGGTGCTGGTCACTTTGCATGAAAAAAATAATTTTCTGCCTTCTTTTTTATCCAGAGAGGATTCAATCAACACTGTGCTACCCAGTGGGATTGGCCTTGGGACAGATTAAAGTGTTTGTTAGGGAAAACTGAGCATGAATGATAATCATACATTGTGAAGATGTTAGTTTAGATACAACTACAGAGATAGATCCCTGAACTGAATATTTAATGTGCATAAATCATTGTCAATGCACATTATACAAACCTACAGCTGGTTGACACTTGTGAGACTTCTACTATACTGCCTGATGTACGAGCACATGTTTGCGCCACCGAAACAGCACAAATCATATTCCCATTAACTCTGCACACTGCAAAAAATATTTTTTCCCTCTCAAATAAATTAAATATATTCTATATAAAAAAATTTATAGCTGAGGTATCTTATACTGAGATGAGATGATAAACTTAACATTTAGGTTAAATAATGCACAGAGGGTCTTATGGACACACAGAAATCATTCTACTAACCAATTAAAAAGCACTCACATGTTGGCGAATTAAACAAAGCTACAAACATTAATTCTGCTGGACTATGTATGACAAAAAAAATCTATTTACACAGAAAATTAACTGTTGCATGTCTATGAAAAAATTTTCTTCCTGTACCTTCGGTAGTTGATGTTGAGGTTGGCAGTCACAACCGGTCCAGAGAGGAAAGAAGCGTGAGTCCCTGTCACAGTATCTATCATAGTGGCTATTGCCCCCCCGTGGACATGTCTGGAAACACATGCATCAAATCCAAAGTTTAAAAGTATAGTTTTGTGAAGTTTGAAGATGTAAAACTTGCCCATTTTATGAGCTAATTTGGCATTTGGCCTTTATTTGAAAGCTGAAATGACAGGACACAGAGAAAGCGATGACATGTAACAAAGGTCCGTGGCCAGAATAGAACCATGGACCTTATATGATACGCTCATGCCCATTTGGCTACCTTGGCAGCCCAAACTACGCTGGGACCAGTGTGTAGGATTTAGTGGCATCTAGCAGTGAAGTTATATCTGTATGCAGCTCAGCCTTCCAAGCGTGTAGGAACGGTGGCCACGAAACTTGTGAAAAACGCAAAAGCCCTATTTAGAGCCGGTGTTTGGTATGTACGTTCAGGGCTACTGTAGAAACATGGATCAACATGGCGGCTCTCTGCTCGCTCTGTAGATAAAAAAGGCTCATTCTAAGCTAAGTAAAACACAACAATTCTTATTTTGTATGAAATCATACCTAAAACAACCCTATGGATGTGAAAATGAATATTATATTACATTTCTGCCAATAAATCCTCCTAAATAGTGACCTTTTAAAAAAACTATAAAGATGTTGCAAAATGCATTAACGGATAAAATATAACTGTGTTTTGTTTTTTTTCAGTATGGAAGTAAAACACGTTTTAAGAAAGGAAGCAGTAATTGTTTAAAATTAGAACGAGAAGCAAACAGATATTGCAAGTATATATATTATACTATATAAATATATTATAATTTGATTTACACACACAATTAAACATTAATTCTCCGCGCTGGGTGGCCCCTTCCAGTTCAGTTGGTCCAGCCTGGAAGATGCCCACAACACTTTATCTCTCCTTGTTACACCCAAACAGAAATACTCAAATGCTGGCCGCACGGGCTTCGTTACTTTGTCCGGGTTAAAAAGACGGCTTTGAACTGATTAATCTTTACTGAGATATACTCGCACCTGAACTGGAAACAGGAAAAACACACAGAAAATTGACCATCACTGTCAGGCAACTCGAAGCATCCCCAGGCAAAGCAAACAATAAATGCAAATTGTGGGTTTGCAAGGTTAGTTATTCATACTATTTTAGAGTTAGATTTAAGCCTTAGTAACCCAATTAACAGTTAATTTAACAGTGTTAGCGCATCCCTCCGAAGGGGTCAAAATTGTTTCCGCCACTAGCAAAACACAATCCACATCCAACATTTAAATTTTAGAATAAATTTGTTTAAAAAATAACTATAAGGTGGTGGATGGTTCATGTTACTAAAAATCAACTTTTTTCACATGTTTTTTTCTGCATTAAGATTTTTGAACACATAAGCACGCAACATTATAGCCACTTTTAAGGTTCTTTGCCAACTTTTGGGTTTGAAATTTACTGCCCAAAGGTTTTCTTCATGCACTACTGTTTTTACGTATTTCGTGTCATGACAAGACAGAAACTAAGCATTAACCACAGTGATGGCAAATTTACATGGAGCAATATTGTGAAGGGCTTCGCGATTGTAGCTTGGGCACTCTGCTTTGGGCATGGCCCCTCTTTTCTTCCTTCCTCCGTTCCACGTCGCAGCTGGCTTTGTTGGTAAATGGCCGTGACAACTGCAAATCAGTTTTCCGTTGAGCCCCAATTGAAAGGGTTTAGGCAAGCGCTGAAGTTTCCGGGCTTTGGGAGAGGAAACGATTGGGCAGCCGCCTGCTGAAGGAGGAAATACAAAACTATGCAGCAACTGAATTGTTGTAGAAGGTTTTTGCTCTGGCTTTTATTTTTAAGGCAACAGAAGATATACAATGTTTTATTATTCTGCTTCAATGTCGCAGAAGGTTTTTTTTATTCACTTTCTGTTTGTGTGGTTTTGTTAAGTTTTTCGAGTGGGTCAAATGTAAATGGCCATGCAATTATAAGTGAATGTGGTTTTCTAATAGCTTCACTTCAATGTTGTAAAAGGGGGGGGGGGCAGCAAAAAAATTAAGAAACACTTTCCTAGACTGAAATGCGCAGTCGATTTCACACCACTGCTTTAACGACTAAAATTTGAATTATAAAAATCCCGATCAAGCCATAACATTAATGACCACCTCATATGTTTCTCAAGCCAATACACAAGCAAGCTTGATGACTGTTGTGTTTTCTTTTGATCTTTTTTCACCAGAAAACCAGCAAATTAACTTTTTCTTCAGCAGTTTTTGAGCTAAGTTAGGCTCAATCTGTTGGATGGAACCCATGAAAGCCAGCTTCAAATGACCTGTCTCTGTGTTTCTTTTTCTTTTCTTTGCCTTGGAGCATTTTTGATAGGTACTGAACCACTGCAAGACCGGCGACCCAACAAGGCTGCAGTTTTTGGAGATCTTTGACCCAGCTTCGTCAGCTGGGGTCAGAAGCAGTTCGTCTTAAGCAGTGTTTAATTTTGTGTTTATCTTGTGGTTATCTTGTTTTTTGTGTTTTTTTTTAACTGTTTTTTTTTTCTCTTCTTGGTTACAAGTGGTTCTTTTATAATTTTATAATAATTAATTTTTTCATACTGTTTCTTTAACTGTCCCTTTTGTACTGTTTTTTTTTTTTTCCTATCCACTTTAACTACTGTAGACTTGGAACTTTTCCCCATTGGTGGGACTGATAAAAGGAATTTTCCTTTATCTTTATCTTAAGGCCATCACAATGTAGGAAACTTGTTTCAAAGTTTTCTGGCTCAAGATCGCCGTCACATTGCCATTACTTGTTCTCCTGCTTTTCTTTAACAAAGTTCACTTTAAAGGAGAAAATCTGCTTGACAAAATGTTCACTTGCTGCCTATTATATCCCATTCACCTCATAACGTTATGGCTGATTTATGTATAGTTAAAATAAAGTTATAAAGTTATATTAACTTATTATAGTTAAAAGAGCAGTGTGTAGGATTTAGTGGCATCTAATGGATTATACACCATTTCTGACAATAGGTCATCCTATTAGCATGTTACACACTGCTGGACCTTTAATACCTCTCATAAAATGACATATTTAGTGGTATATAGTTGTATGTACGTTGCCCACCTCTTCCATCCATTACAATTATATAAAAAGACTAAAATCAGATTGATAAATATAATAAATTAATGGCATAAGTAGACAATTCTGATAAAGGCTAATTAACTGTGTTTTTAAATGTTCGTCTTATCTCCAGTGTTTGCACCGGAATGCATTCACCACTAACCAAACCCCAGCACAGGACTGAGAAACATCTGGAAAGAGACTGAGTTTACAGGACACACAGGTGAAAAACGAGCCCACCATTCATTTCAAGCACTTTGACTGTACCTACCAGCACAGAGCGTCGTCTGACCGGCTGGTAGACGCTGGCAGAGGGGTAGCGGAGTTGAGTCTGTATGGGTGAGACCGAGCCGAGGCGTTGCAAGCCATTGCATATTCGACCGAGACTTCTTGCCATCTGTACACTGCTTCAGAGGACGAGGACTGTGGGAAAACTGGTGTTTTGAGGTAGCTTTAAACACACTGGTGACAAGTGAAATGGTGCTGCTGGCTGACGTAAGCTAGCGCCGTAACAATACTGTCGTTGTTCTGAACCCTGAGCTGCTTTATGATACACCGTAAACGGGTGAAACATGTGTCACGTTTAGCTGTCTTATAAAATGTAAACACGCCCTGCTGGTTTTCTACCGGTGACTTTCATGTGTCATCAGCCAATGTAAACTTCCGGCATGAGGTGTTCATGTGACTTGAACCTCGCACTGTGATTGGCGGGATTCTGTGGCTCTACCCAGAGCCGACTCTTTACAGTATATACGGTAATTATATCAGCTCTGTACAGTATATAACCTCTGTACGCACAAAATTCCTTATTATTCCATCACTTAACTAGTTCCACATTGTTTAACGTATAAACTTAAGAAATAACAAAATATTCAACTCAATTAGGACTTTATTCTTTCACTTCTGCCTGTATATTGTCATCTATTGTATTATTATAAGGTATAATACTTAGGGTCTTCTTATTTTTCATGATAGATAGATAGATAGATGATTTATCCCGGGCTTGTGTTAGATATTGTAATCCAGTTTGTTATATTTGTTCTATTCTTTAACATTGTGTGATCATCTTGACCAACTGTAACAAACACATTTCTCCCCGGGGTTTAATAAAGTATTTCTATAGTAGGTATATTACGGTTAAAAACATATCTCTATTTGACAAGGACTGGATGGAGAAAGGCATTTGGTAGGTGACTTAAGCACTGGCTGTACATGTTTGCTTAAATATGATTTAATTGGCAATAGTAATTTATGATACTATAACAAAGGCTGTGTTTAAACTTCCCAGAACTCCCAAAGCAAAATAAATCAATTTAAATGTGATGTAAAAATCCAGTGAATTCTTAAGACAACGATTTGAAATTGAAACCAATAGGTGGGTATTTTGGTATTTTCAGTCTCATATCTGTTTTGCTTTGTTTTTTCTGAGTTTCTTTTTGTATGCACCTGATCCTGTTGGTCTTTTGTATGATGTATGATTAAAGGCATTATGTTTGTGCATAGATAATTGTATCAGAATAGAGAAATGTGTTACCAATTGGGACAAACTAAATTGCAAAGAAAGTACAATTTAAACAAAATGTACCATGAAATAAATATACTATTAGATTAGTGAAATACAGTTATACATAAAGATTGTATGTTGAATAATTCTCTTTAAAAAAATGGATTTCATGATAATAAACCTAAGCCTTTTAAAATATTTAAGAATGACTTGTGAATCTTATACCATACTAAACAATACACACAACTACATTTTCATAAAATGTTCATCAACTGTGACCTTAACACACAAAGGTTTCACAGTTTCACAAATGGGCAGCAGCAACAAAACAAATGAATGCATCCTGTGGGAATCTGCTACAATAAATGTTTATTTTATTGTGTTGTTATTTTATTTATGCAATTTCATGCGTTTTCAAATACATTTAAGTTAATTGCAAGTCTTTCTACAGTTTAACACAAACAGATTGCTCAGTGCACTTACATTCATTCAAGACAGTATTACTCAACACCACTTAAGTTAAATTAAGACTGTGGAAGACAGCTTATTTGGTTTTCCAGTTCACTTAAGTGCACTCGCCTTATAAAGAGGTGTTAAACTGATCAAGACAGATTTAACCACAGAAGTCTCTTGGTTTGTTGTTCATCTGAAGTTATACAAGTTTTTGTCATGCCATTATCCAGAATAGTATCTACCATTTTGTAGCACGCTGGAGGCCAAATTTGAGGGCTCAGACTCAAACCAGACAGCCTGGCTTCCCCAAAACAGTGTTTATAGAGGAGGTAGAACAGGAAATGGAAGATACTCTTTGCATATTAAATAGCTTAGCTCTTAATCACGACTGAAAAATGCAGTGAGGTTGTCGTTCTTTATCCTTGGTTCTGCACTAGGGGGAGGTAGAGGGACGTGCTACTGAACTAATAGATGATAGACTGATATAATGCATCATAAATGAGTGCACATTATATTCATCTTCCAGCTGAGTTTAGCATGTTGGTTATGGCCTGACCCTTTCCACACTCCAACACGTGACATGAAGTGATATTTTAATGAAGCATAAAGCTTACTGTTCCACTCAATTCAGTAGGCTGGTTTACAAATTCTTCCACATAGCCATCTGAGGTCTCAGCTATTAAACAGATGGACATGTACTTTCTAAATGCTCACGGTCAGTCAGGTCTCATCAGGGCGGCAGGGCAACAAAAACATCTATACACCTCAGGCCTGCTGGTTCAGGTGCAATGTAGATTCACTGGTTTAATCAGGGGAAGTTATTTTTGACAGTACAAGATGTAGTCAAGAAGAAGACAAGAAGTATTAAAGTGTTTGGCAATGGCAAAAGGCAGAGCTAGATATAACCAAACAACACAATAATATTACAAAATGATATAAAACTATTTCCCCAATCCTGTTCCTTTTGTCCACTGGATGTATGGACTTTTATTTTTAAAACAGTTTTTATTTTCTAACAATAAACAAGCAGACCTGTAACTACATCAGTAATATTATAAAATGTGTCATTGTAGTATGTATGGCTTTTTTTTTTGAAAGCCCACAGTCAATGCTGAGTGCTTTTATTTTGGAACTTCAGGGAGTCCACACAGCTTCCTGCAAAATTAAGAGAAGAAAATATATAATGTTAATTTTGTCCTGATGTGATACGGTTGCCTTGCGTCTTTACTCTTACAGCCATGACTCTATAGTGTGGTCTGGCTCTAAAGAGTTTGTACAGTTGAAACAGAGAGGCCTAGGGCTTTCTGATGTTCTGGACAACTCTAGCTGACCCTTCCTATTGAGGATGAAAGTAGGAGTTTCAAATCTTACCGTGCTTCTTCCTTGGTTGTATCCACAAAGGCACAAATAGCTTTATCTCGATCCAAAATCTGTTGTTTCAAGCTCTGAATGTCCTCCTCAGCCTTCTTTTTGAGCACTTCGTGATCATCTGAGGAAATTACAGTATATAACAGAGAAAGAGTGTACAAAATTAACAATTTCCATATTCAATACAACAGAAATGAGTGATTTTAGGTGGAAAACGTGGAATCGTCCTGCAGGTTCTCATGGA